GCCCACTTTTCGCCGCAGACAGGGGCGGCTGCCACCTCATGCTGCTTCCTCTTTATCAGCAGCAACAGCACAAGGCAACAAGCAGCTGGTCCACAAGAGGAGCTGGTTTTTAAACTGGCTCCCCTCCTGGACTAGCTCCCCTGCCTGGCACCCCGCACTGCTGCCAGTCCCTCCCCCACGGACTATAGAACAGTTGACTAACTGATAATTTGTGAAGTTACTTGACTATTCAATTAACTGATAGTTAACATCCCTAGAGCAGACACTACTTGCAAAAGTTTTGCAGTCTCTGGCACACATAGGGTGCATCTACACTGCAATGCTATCTCGGGATACCGGAGTATCCTGAAATAGCTATACTGTGTCTTCACAGCAAGCCTGTTATTTTGGGCTCGCTATTCCAACATCCCTGTAAACCTCATTCTACGAGGAGTAAAGGACGTTTCAGAATAGCACTCTATTTCAAAATTTGGTGCTGTATAGACAGCGCTAAATGATTAAATACGCTATTTCAAACTAGCTTTGAAATAAGATACACAATTTGCGTAACTCAAATTGCATATCTTATTTCGAGTTACGGTGCAGTGTAGATGCAGCCATAGTAAATGGGTATCCACAGTGGGGTACAGATGGGGACCACCCATCTTGGAGAATATCAGTTGCATGGCATTCCGAAGTGCTATGACAAAAATGCAGTGCATACAGTGATAGCAATATTTGGTTACGGAGTGAAATGGTAAAGATTTTTAGTGGCAACTGCTTTAGGCACGTATGTGAAATCATGACTATCGCTACAATCCAAATGCCATTTCAATGGAAGCATTAGATTAAATACTTTAACATCTTTAGGGTCATTGAGGCTCCAAAATGTCAAAACGGAATACAGTAGTAGCATGAGCAACATGTCACATCTGTGCATGTGTATAGCGACTAGCGGCTAGTACCTGTGAACCTAAATTCCTCACAACGTGTAAATATGGGTTTCTGGGGTTCAGTGAATGTCCGCTGACAACGTGGACCTGAATGTTAGCATCCTGAGCCGTTCAGTTCAAATAGTGAAATCGTAATAGAGGCTGTGTTTTCATTGCTGAATGTTCGTGTCCTCAGGGAGGTCCTGGTCCAATGCCCATTGGCTTCAATGAGCAGTAAAACAGGACCCAAAGCATAATCTTGGAGGAACAGGTGGTTAAGATATAAAAGTAGAACTCGGGACGCCTGGATTCTGTTCCTAGCTCTGCCTTAAAAAGCTGCGAAAATCAGTGAACCTCTCAGCCCCTTTCTTTTCCCATTTCCAAAACGGGACTCATGGTGTATACTTGTTTCACAAGGGTCCTAAGAATTAATATTTGTCAAGGCATTTGAGATCCTCAAATGGAAAGTGCTGTAAAATACATCGGTAATATGTAAACATGCTAATGCAAATACTCCAATGTGCTTTGGAGAGCTGGGTTTTTATGATGCTGTTTACAACAATGACGTGCATTTTGCTATGGAACAAGAGTGTTTTGCTGACTAACCGTAGTGACGGAACGCTGCCCTGACTCAGCGTTTCTTTTCCTGTTCAGTTTTTAATCACATTTTATCCGGGACTCAGCCTAGTTTAGAGATGTTTGAGCCCTGCAGAGGAAATAACGGGGGGCCTCTGATTGTTGTCATTAGAAAATCGGCTGCGATGGGATCATTGGCTCAGCCGCCAAAGAGGACCGCTGCGGAATCTGCAATGGAGACGGCAAAACCTGTAAAGTGGTGAAAGGAGACTTCAACCACACCAAGGGGATGGGTGAGTTGCATTCAGCAAAAGCTCTCTGCCTTGGTCTGTAATGCTTGGCATCTAGGACTTCGAGATTTAGTGGCCGCTCTTGTCCTTTAAAAGGAATTGAGCCACACAAAATGGTCCCTCATCCAATAGTCCTTGTACATTTAAAAAAAGATTTTAAATTAATATTTTAGAGATTGATAAACGGAGCATGTTCGGGCGGTCCATGATATTCAACTTTTGCTGACACCAATGGAAGTTGGGGGCGGGGTGAGAGTTTTCCCCATTTTTACAGTGGAATGACTTTAATTACGTTGGTATTTTTGTTACATTTTGTTGCCTGGAAGAAATCTGTGAATCAGTGAATAATGCTACAAGGGTAAGATGGTCAAATCTCCAGTTACTAACTATGCATAATCTTGTCATGAAGTTTTTTTCAGAATAATTGTTTAACCTGTAAAAGTTCCTGTAAGGGTCCAATTTTGTGAGGTGCTGAGTCCCTCTTGAGAAGGGACGTTGAAGATGCTCAGGGCTGCACAGGGTCAGGCCTGTTGGTGCTGTATAACAGTTTTTTGCTATTGCGTTTCCTTAACTGTGTTCTATTTTTATTAAAGATCTGGTTCCACATGTAGGGAAGCAAAAGCAAAGCACATTCAACATGGGACCCAGCTGAGCAATGCCGTTCAGGATGTCCTTGAAGCCCATTCTTGAGCTCCATTGAATTTGTGATTAAGCACAGGCTCAATTGCTTTGCTAAAGCAAGGCCTCAAAGCTGGTGCTCTGATTTTCTTTTCTAATTTCCACCATCCCCTTCCCATACTTTTATCTATGAAGCCAGCTAAGATCTATCACCCCCTGTGGGTGCAGGTGGAATTGGCAAACTTTAGGAAGACTTTCTGGAATTCCTTTGGGCACGTTCATTGTCAGGCCGAATGTCCATCAACTACTGGTCTAGTCGATAGGCAGTTCCGCATTCTTCCTTTGAAATGTACAACAGCCACTGCTGGGGCCCTTGTACATTTCAAAAGAGGAATGCGCAGCTCTGCGTGCAGCCCGGGGCCATCAGGAAGTCCCACTTACTGGGCTGCATGTGGGCATGCCTGCTTTGAAATGTACAAGAGTCCCCAGCGGGGGCCCTTGTGCATTTCAAAGCCACAGCGCCTTCCTGGAGCCCAGGGTCAGCAGGGGACTCAGCTGACTTCCATCATCTGATAAAATGGGGTTTTGCCCACAAAAGCTCATGATACTATATACATTTTTGTTAGTCTCTAAGGTGCCCCAAGACTACTTGTTTTTAAAGTTACAGACTAGCACGGCTACCTTGCTGAGACTATTTTTGTTATTTATGGATCAGAACCACCATGAAACATTCTGCAGCAAAAAGACTTGACCGAGACCAGACAAACTTCTGGTCCTTCCCCTGAATTTGAAAGTGGTGTACATCTGCTTTTAGCTAGGTGGACTGCTCTCCATACATGCGGTGACCTTTCCCCATGGCAGATCTCTAAACATTCTCCTCTAATTATCAACCAGCTGAATACAGCAGGGGTTTTCCCCCATCTCTAGAGATGTTAGGTAATCAAAATGGGATGTCAGGGCAGAAGCAACAGCACCCACTGTATTGATCATTGATATTACAGTGTACAAGCATTTATTGCACTCTCATTCTTTACTGAATATCTGGAGTGAGAGAAGCATCAATTGTGTCTAAAGTGTTGCTTCACCAGTGGTCATAGTCATTCAAAATACTTCATCTGCCCATCTTACATAGCTAAATAAATAAGGATTTGTTCAGCCATTATACGGTATTCTGAAACACTAGCTATGCTTTTATTTTCAGGAAAAGAGTAGATTAAAATAGAGTGGTAGTCGTGTTAGTGTGTAACTTTAAAAACTAGTAGTCCTGTGGCACCTTAGAGACTAATAAATATACAGCCGGTCCCTGAGTTGCGAACGGTCGACTTACGACCGTTTGCAGTTACGACTGAAGCTGTGGTAAATGGCGGAATCCCTGTTACGAACGCGATCTGCGCTTATGAACAGCGCAGTCGCGTGTATCTCTATGGGGTCCGACTTACGAACAAACCGAGTTACGACCAATTGCTTGGTCCGTAACCGGTTTGTAAGTCAGGAAGAGGCTGTATTTTGCTCATGAACTCTCATGGGCAAAACCTACTTCCTCAGATGAGATGGTTTTGAGTGACGTAATCTGAAGAAGTGGGTTTTACACACACACACACACGTGCCACAGGACTCCTCATTTTTACATTAAAACAGTAAATGAAAAAACACAAAATATAGAGGCTATGTTCGGCAAAGACATATCTTCGAGTATGTGAATCATATTTGTTCATATTGTAAACCATTTCTTGCCTGTGTCACTGATAACTTAGTGCAGTTAGACATGCTAGTTTCATATACTGTTCCAGACCTTGATTCTGCTTAATTTTTTGCCCTATGTGTTAATCCGTGGTGTTCAATGGGACTTCTTAGTGTAAGTGTTTTGTAGGATCAGGACATTAGTCAGTTTCATGCTCTGCGTCCCATGCACTGGCACAAAGATGCAGTGTTCAGGTTGCAAAAACTACAAAAAAAACCCTCATGTTTTTAAGAAAAATCTGTGGATTTTCATCTAAAATTAGCCTTTTAAAAATGTTTAAAATCTAAGATTTTACAAAACTTAAATTTGGGGGCAAAAGTGACTAAAGAGCAGAAGTCGTGATAGCGGAATCAGGGCCTGGATATTGAAATCGTTACGGAAGTGAGCGGCATGTCCCTCACTGACTTGCTTTGATTCCAGTTGGGCCCGAAGTCCCTGTGGTCAGTGTGCTAATTTATGGTTTCAGAAGAGAATAGCCGTGAAATGTCCTGACAATGGTTGTGAAGAAGTATCAGTTTGAGAATTGCTCCTACAACGTTTGGGCCAGATCCTGCAGCTGCTTTGCAAATGGGACTCCACTGAGTGCAGGATCAGTCCCTGTATGTCCTATGATTGCAAACCATGCTGTTGAGTGTTATTAACTGAACTAAACTCATGCCAACTCCTTTCTGTTTCTCAGTAACCCATAGTCATTGTAAGAAGGTTTCCACGTGTGTGATGGCAAAGGCAAAGGCTGTTCCCAAGTGTTTCTCGTGTAAGATGCCTGAACACTGTGTGGTATCACTGGGGAGCTGTTGTTTGGTGTTGGTTTTCTGTCCTCCTTCTCCTCCTGGTTGGATTGGGTGGGAAGCCTGCATGGTACAAAAAGCCATGGACACACTTTAAGGCCTTCTACCTTCAGCATCACCTAACCTGAATTGGAGACACAGCTCGCGGGTCCTTTGACTTTTAAAGGAGCTGCTTAGCCACCCGAATAGCATGTTTGTTAGCCCATTATCAAGTTGTGACCCTATTTCTTCTCTTCCAGCCCATCTCTGAAGTGCCACAGTTTTCAGAGGTTCTGCACACCGGTCACCTGTCTCAGTCCTATGGCTGCTGGTCCCTTTGTTTTCTGGGAACTAAATTTATTTAAAAAAACCCAAAATAGTGCACAAATTGTGTTTTCAAATTCACTCTAACCTTCTGATGCCATTCCCACGTGGTGTTCAGCATTCTGTTCAGTGCTCACTCCTGAGTAATGCTGATTCCCACCAACTACATCTTTGCCCCGTCTCCTCCTTTTTGTAAGATTCCCATGCAGACTCCCATGCTATACAGGTAATGCTTAGAGACCTGCCGCATGTGTGCATCTGTACTCTCCCCGTGCATACAAGAAAATCCTATTAATAGGATATACGGACAGGTGATGAGAGGCAAACAGAAACACAGAGCAGTGGGGTACTTACCAGGTTTGAACAGACTGTCTTTTATAGGAATCACCACCACCAAATTGACATGTATCACAATATCAGGAGGCATTGAAATTTGTCCATGGCTTTGCGATGAACTGATGTTCCTCCAAGCTAACTACCCCTTGGCTGGAAGTAATCCGTGGTGTGTAGGCAGTGTGTGGTGAGAACCTGCAATCGGCACTAGCCATGATTCTCATGCGCACAAGAAAATAACCTAGTCATTAGTCTTCTTTTATTTTCTGATCAGTAACAAGAATTTCATTCCATACAAAATCTGGGAAGCAGGACAGTGTGGGTACATCTAGACTACAGGCTTTTGTCGACAGAGGCTTTGTCGACAGATACTGTCTACAAAGCTTCTCTCGACAAAGAGCATCTAGACTACATCCAGTTCTGTTGACAAAGCAAGCTGCTTTGTCGGCATGAGAGTGTAGATGCAATAACGCCTTCTGTCGACAGAAGGTATTATTCCTCGTAGAATGAGGATTACCGCTGTTGACAAAACTGCTGAGTTCTGTCGACGTTATGTCGACAGAACTCGGCGGTAGTGTAGACACAGGTATAGTTTTGTCGACAAAAGGCCACTTTTGTTAACAAAACCCTGTAGTCTAGACACACCCTGGGGTACTGGGAGGATCAGTAATGAGGGATGTGATGGTTGACCTGTAGGACAACAGTTGGAATCCAGCCCCAACAGATGGTAAGGGCAAGTCATTAGCTTCTTCTGATTGCTCAGAAAATGAGTTTTTCAAGCTCCGCCCAGTGTCTAGTGAACACATTTCCGTGGCACCACTACAGTAAATACCAATGGACATACATGGCAAAGGGAGTGAGGACTGGAAGAGCCATGGAGACTGCAGTGTCCTGGCCATCCTAGGGCAGCGAGATGTCTGTGCTGTATGTTTTCAATAGATAAATAGGGGAGCCCAGTCTTTACAGCTCTCAACTTGGGACCTTTCATCAGGACATCAGCTCCAACTCAGGATAGTACAAGGGCATGGGTTTTACTCTACCCACACTGTGGTTTACCCCCAGTAGAAAGATACAAGGGTACATTATGTGGAGATCTGCACTTGCAGCCATGGGGTAACATCTCTACCCGAGAGTTCATCTTACAGCCACACCAATTTTGTAGTACAGGTTGAACCTCTTTAGTCCAGCACTCTCTGGTCCAGCAATATCCGTGGTCCAGCATGATTCAGCTAGCTGGATGTTAGCCATGATTCAGCTAGCTATGGGTGTGGCCATGTTTCCCGTAAAGTTTGTTTACAGCCACCAGTCCTGGCCCGCAGTGTTCTGTGCTTTTGTTTAGCTCTAATTTACCCCTAAATGTCTTCTAAGAACCCACTAAGCAGAGGAAATGTTGGTAATGCTGCTAGACAATATTGACCTCCCATGGTCCGGCAAATTCTCTGGTTTGGCACCGGTCAGGTCCCGAGGGTGCCGGACTAGAGAGGTTCAACCTGTAGTTCGGTTCCACATTGAAATTCATTCTAACTTCCCTCCTCTCTCTGGGACTAATAATCCTGCCTAGCAGTGGGTTCTCCTGTTTGCGCCTGCTTTCCTCTTGTAAGTCTCTCCAATGTTTAAGTGAAGATACAGTAGCCATTGTACATGTATTAATCTGCTTGATGACAAAGCCGCCTCTTTGTTCTGGTGTCTCTCCTAATACAAGTTCACTATATAACTTGTGTCTAGGACTCACTTCAATCACGGCTTTACATTCCTGGGACACTGATGTAACACAGATTATGCAGAAAAATTGTTGCATGCCAAAATAGCTGCTCCCAAGGTGGAGTACAGTAAATACAGCACTATTAATGACCAAATAATGAAATTCTCCTGTTATGCTTCCCAACCTTCATCTTAAAAGACTGACTTTTGGATGCAGTAACTAGAACCACTGCCTTATTGTTGCCAGCTCTCATCAGTTGCTAAGCCTCTCCTCACCTAAACAGAATTTTAACCCTACCTTGCTAACCCCACTATTGCAAACTGTTACCCCAAGGTGACCTGACAGATCTTGGAGAGTCTCTTGTTTCTGCATCGACATTGATCTTTCTGTTGTGTTTAACAGCTGATACTATTGGATAATCTTTCTGGCAATCTGCAGTTTACAATTTGTGGTAGAACACATGCCTCAAAAGCAACAGGGCTGTTTGTAAGGGGCAACGTTCTCCAGTATTGGGATTATAATCACTTGTGCCACAGCATGTCACTAGCTCTATAGCCCGGGAGGGAGCAATCTGAGTTTATATTTGTGGTGAGTTTGCATGGATGGTGCATTTAGTGCATTTGCAATAGGATTTTGACCACTGATTTACGGTGTCGCTTGCGAAGAGCTCAAGACACTTTCTATGGCACATGCCCAAGGAATCTGCTCTGTCCCCTGAAAGAACATTTCAAAACGGCGCAAGTAAATGCTAGTGTAGAGCGCTGCTTTGTTCCTTAAAGAAAACAATGTGTAAATGGCTGGTTCTGGGACACCTGATCTTGGTAAAGGGTTGGGGATTTTTCTTATTCAGGAGCTGTGAATACAACTCCTGGTGCCATCAGTCAGGATTAGAATTTACATGAGGAGAAAAATCTGGTATCAGCCCAAACTAAATAGTCTCCAGAACTAATACCCTGTTAATAGCTTAAACTCAGCTATTTACCATTTCAAAAGTAACGTACAAGGCAGCGTTTCCACATGGTATTTTCTTGCACCGCAGTGGTGAAATGAGAGCATATTTGTGGCACTAGCAGAACCTCAAGAGTAACGCCATGCCTCCCTCGCTGCAAAACCAGCGGGACACAGTCCAAGCTACCACTGCCTTAGGGGGTCTGCTCTGAAACCCAGTAAAATCAGTCAGAGCCTTTCCATTAACTTCAGTGCTTTTTTGGATCCGATCATTGCAGGAGGTAGCTCTAAGCCTTTAATTTAAATAACAATAATAATAATCTACAGGAAATACATCAACAAGTCTGTGATACTTGGGCATGTTCCAAAGTGGCTTCCTAACGTGGTGGCCAGGTGTGTTCCTAGGGTATATTTACCGTGACAAACTGTCATTAATCACTCTGCTGTGTGTTCATGTCTGATCGTAATTGTTGGCTGGGTTTGAATGCAGATGCATGGGTGCAACGAGGGATATTTGGCATTTTGGAATGGGTTGCTCTTAACATGAATTATTCTCTCAACCAACAAAAAACCAACTCCCAGCAATATCCAGGCTAAGGCCCTGACATCTGTTTTCTTTGATTTTTATGGATTTCACAATTTGCCGTAAAAGCCACGCCCTGAATAAGTGAGTGTTACTGATGGACCATGCTTTATAATTATCAGAATGTGGAATTCACCGGCCTGACATGAGCAGAGGTTCTTTATTCAGAATCCTGTTGCCCCTTCGTTTTGGTTCCTCCTGCAAAGGGCTGATTGATTGGCTTTTGGAAGGAGCCTGAGAAGGGGAGAAGAAAAAGATGAGAGGCCGCTGGGGTGGGGCAAAAGGAAAAGGACCTGGGCTGAGGCAAGCAAGGCGAGGTGGTAAAATGCCACTACAAATTAATGAAATGTGCCAGAACAATATGGTCTTCCTTAAAAGGATGAGATGCTCAGGAAAGAGATGGTTCTCATTGGCCAGACCATCTCCCAATCTAACATCAACATCCCCAGTGCAAATGTTTTGCACGGGTGGGAGTGGGAGGGAATCCCTGTGCCCCGTGAACCCCTTGGCTGTGCAGCTGCTTCATGGACACTATTGTGGTTGGCTAAGCCCATAGGCTGAAGCCCATGAGTGAAAGGCTCGCAGGCTGGGGGTTATAGTGATGGATTCACTGGCCTGTACCCAGGCCAGGCTACAGGCTACCACCTGCATAGTACAGGCAGCCACAGAGAGAGAGAGGCCCTTTGTTCTCCAATATGTAGTGCTCTTTCACTTGCTCTCAATCCAGCGCAAAGCAGAACCATGGCAGGTCAGCTGCCTTAAAAAAACCAAAGTGCGGCCGAATTCCAAACACTATTCTTACACTAGTGATTCTCCAGCACTGTCATATTGGGGCAGGCCTGGAAAAGGGCTGTATCATTTAATGCATATAACAACAGAGGAAAGGTAAAGCATACAGAACAAAGAGCTAACTATTTAGTGTTTCAAAAGACTAGGTGGGAAGGAGGAGGAGCCAAGCTACACACTGAAAAATAAACCAGCTGGCCAATTAAAAAATCAAATCGTAATCTCCGTAGTTTCCAAGGTAGTTTCATTGCATCGTATTTTCAAAAAGCAATCAATTTACTAATACCATTCTCTTAGATGAAGGATAGGGCTGAGCCTTGATTTGGAGTAGCATGCACGCACACACAACTCCAAAGATCAAGAGTGCTCATGTCTTGAGGTTTTAGTTGTTTGCCCATTTTTGGGGAGGGAGGGAGAGTTTAAAAGCAATCAGTAAACCACGTGTAACTTTAGTTGTTTGCCCATTTCTGGGGTGGAGGACGGGGGTTAAAAGCAATCAGTAAACCACGTGCAACTCACAAGTAACTTTTTTTATTTTTAAAATAATGTTTATGTTCTCTGATAATTAAACATTAAATCCTTATGGAGATAGCACATAATTGTATAAGAATAAAACCAGTTGGAGTCTATAGAAATTTCTCTACAAATGTAGACGGTCAGATGCCCAGTTAATTTAAAATGGCATGGCTCAGGGATCTGGCCCATAGAAATTAATGCAATTTTTTTTTTTAGATTTTTTTTTTAAATCATCCTGTACGATTAAATCCCAATTATAGAATTCTGCAGCTTGGTTTAAAAGCTCTGAAAGAAGGAGACTTTAGCCTATTAAATTCTATGGGACCATTTCATGGGGTCTGGCATGCAAGTGAAAACAAATAGATGTATACCAGTTTTCATCATTGACTCCTGCAATGTGTTGGTTTTAGCAGTCTCTCAAAAAGCTTGCTCTTTTCCTTAAATATATGAATGATAAGGCAGGTTACATCCCAAAGAAAGCTTTTTCATAACAACTAACACCAGAGTTTTAATTTCAAAGCCCTGACTCCTCTGTTACCATGAAGTGCATTCTAACTACCATCAAGCACGCCTCTGCTTCAGCTTTCAATAGGATCTTCACATATTTTGGCAAATACCACACATGAACAAAAACGATGCAAGGGGAACAGATTGAATAGACCCAACAACATGCCTGAAGAGTAGCATTTCAGGAGTCCGCACACCTTTCTTCAAACTGTACGGATTAGTCCTGTGCAAGTCCTAGCGTTGACATTTGGCTGCCAGAACAGCTACCACCTTTTGAGTGTTTCCCAACCAGTGCCGAAGCTGGAGTGGAGTTGATTTTTTGGGGGGTGAGACTAAATGGCAGAAAGCTTCTGGCTGGCTGTGGGGTACTTTCATCCATGTGACTTTTTGTTGCCGTAGGTTACATAGAAGCCGCTGTCATCCCTGCGGGTGCTCGACGGATCCGAGTGGTTGAGGATAAACCTGCCCACAGTTTTCTGGGTAAAAATGCGAAATGTGTTGATTCTAAACTCTGTGTACGCTTTTGTTAAGCTGGCTTTTGTCTAAATCAAGGGCTTTCAAACGACGGGTCATGACCCAGCACCAGGTGGTGGAATGTCGGGCACTGGGTCTTGTTGCTGCGGGGGGATCAGGTGGCCAGTGAAGGATCCTAAAGTAGACTAAGTTGTGCCCTATAGGGCTGTTAAATATCGGTTTACTGAATAGTTGATTAATCCCATGAATTTGTATCAATTACTCAACTATTCTGTAGTCTCGGGGAGGGGGGGGGCGGCAGCCAGTGTGTTCCAGCCCCACTTCCAAGGAGCCCCCCTGCCAGGCAGCAGCATGGGATGCGAGCGGGACCTAGTCCATTTAAAAACCAGCTCCCCTCACAGACCGGCTGCCTGTCGCCCTTCACGGCTGCCTCTGATACAGAGGCAGCAGCGCGGGGTGGCAGCAGCCCCTGTCTGAGGGAGTCGAGCTCCCGGACCCAGTGTGAGCTGGAACTGAGCCAGGCTGCTTGCCTGCCAAGCTCCTAATACACTTTAAATGCAGGGCCGCAACAGGGGTAGGTCCTGGATCCCTCACAAGTCAGGACTCAGCTGGGCTGCTGGCGAGCCTACTGGCATGGGGGGGGAGGGATGTGTGTAGTCCTTAGCATTAACCAATAAGCTTTTCTTATCGGTTAGTCCATTAATCAACTACATTATTACATCCCTAGCGCCCCAGAAGCAGCCAGCTCCAGGCCCAGCTCTGAGGTGGGGGGAGGGGAGCGCACACAGGGCTCCATGCACAGCCTCTGCCCCGAGCACTAGCTCTGCGCTCCCAGTGGCTGGGAACCTGCTGCCGGCTGCTCCTGGGCGCAGCATGGTCTGCGGTGCCAGGAGAGGCAGGAAGCTGCCTTAGTGCCCCCGCTGCAGCACTGACCAGGAAGAGCCTACTGGCATGGGGGGGGAGGGATGTGTGTAGTCCTTAGCATTAACCAATAAGCTTTTCTTATCGGTTAGTCCATTAATCAACTACATTATTACATCCCTAGCGCCCCAGAAGCAGCCAGCTCCAGGCCCAGCTCTGAGGTGGGGGGAGGGGAGCGCACACAGGGCTCCATGCACAGCCTCTGCCCCGAGCACTAGCTCTGCGCTCCCAGTGGCTGGGAACCTGCTGCCGGCTGCTCCTGAGCGCAGCATGGTCTGCGGTGCCAGGAGAGGCAGGAAGCTGCCTTAGCCCCCCTCACTGCACTGCTGACTGGGAGCCGCTCAAGGTAAGTCCCTCTTGCCACAACCCTGCCCCCTGCAAAGCTGGAGCCCCCTTCTATACTCCAAAGCGCTCGTCCTCAGCCCACACTCCAGTCAAATTATGTTGGGTCGCAGCATTAACAATTTTCTTCAGCTGGGCCATGAGAAAAAAAACTTTGAAAACTGCTGGTCTGAAATGATCCATAGAAACTACCAGGCTGCAAGTTCATCATTTTCAGGAATTGTCTGTTAAGGTTTCATTCTCATGGCGATGGCTCGCCATTTCTTTGGCTGTTTGCTCAGTGGGTTTTGCTATATGACACTGATAGGCCGCTATTCCTCCCGAAGGAATCTCCGAGCATTATTACACGGGTAGACGCAGGGGCGGCCCGTAGGCCTAGGCAAACTGAGCAGTTGCCTAGGGCACCACTGGCCCAGGCGCCCGATGATGATGTCACGGGGCGCCCCATGATTACATTATGGCCATTGATGGCCGTGCAGGTGGGGGTGCCGATTGTGCCTTCCACCTGGGGCGCCAGCTGCCGCAGCCGGCCTCAGGCCGCTCTTGGGTAGATGAGTCTCTGACGTACACTTGCTCTGGGGTGGAACAGAGGAGCTGCCTCACCGCACACCGCAACGCTGCTCCCCAGTTCAGGGGCAGGAATAAGGAAGAATGCGCTGTTCAGATGAAACAGCAGTCGTTTAGACAGAAAGAACATAGCACCCAGCAGTGACGTAGTGAGGGGTAACCTGCTAACTCTCTGGCTGCTGTCTGTAGTTCCACAGAGCAGACAAGCAATGAGTCACTATGCAAAGAGGGTATCCCAACTGGTTTGGCCAGTTGACCCCCATGGAGAGGAACAAAGGAAGGTGGATGCTGCCCTGGCTGGGGGGCAGGGCTGGAGGAGAGTGAGTTAGTTCCTGGCTGGAAAGCAGGGAAGAAGGAACTGGGGAGGGGGCTGGGATCCCCCCATCTCAAAGGGGGCACTGAGGCCTCTTAGCCCCAGTTCCTGTAACCAGATTACATCCGTGCTATGCTGTATCCTGGAGGAGCAATAAACCACCCTCAATTCCACTGGCTGGTGGAGTCTGTTTGTGCCATTTCGGGGGTGCAGGAGGCGGGGGACCCCACCGCGCCGTCACACCAGCTCAGACTAGAAGTGAGGCAGGACAATGCAGCTGACTCCACCAATACGTTTACCAAACTGCCAGTGCCCACTAGGTTGTCGTTTTGCTTTATATCTAAGACCCAGCCCAGTTGAGCCTGTCCTGAGACCACAGCTCAAGGTGGGCTGGCCACAGCCATCAAACCAGTGCTTGTATTATTTATTCCGAATGTCTGTAAGGCAGCCAACTGAAATAATGGGCTTAGTCTCCCATTCATTTACACTCCTGTAGTCGGAGAGGAGGGTTTGGCTCTGGCAGGGAGGGGAGCAGGGCTGGAGCAGGATATAGTAGCTTGGGCTATTGCAGGGTCAGCAAATTTATTATTAAATGATTAACCCCTGTATTTCAGGATGTGTAGGTTACTTTTAGAATATAACTGGCTAGCTACAGAAGCAGATACACTATCGTTACCTTTACGGTGATACATCTATGGCCCCATTCTTCTGTCACAAACTTTAATGCATTTATCCTCAGAACACCCCTTGTGAGGTAAGGATGTGCTGCAATCCCCATTGCACAGATGGAGAACTGAGAAACAGAGAGATTAAATGGTTTGCCCAAGGCCCTGCAGGAAGTCTGTGGCAGAGTAGAGAATCAAATCCAAGTCTCTGGCTAGCACCCTAACTACCAGACCATCCTCTCAGCCAAAGATCTAGATAGGTACGCGGCCATGTAGAAACACCATTGCAAGCAAGGCAACAAACTTACCTGAGCTTTAACGTCTCAATTGTTTTGTGCTGCGCCCACAGTTCCACGTAACGTTGACGAGGATGATCAAAGCAGTCTCTTACTTTGTAGAATCTTTGTGGCTTAAAATTCCGAGCTGGTTCACCTCAAGGTTTTTGTTGCTGTTGATAAGCACGTATATCTTCAGAATCCTTTATTTTCTATGGGTATGACTACGTTGCAGAGTTTTTCAGAAAAACAGCTCTTTTTCCAAAAAAACTTAACTTGCACCCACACTGCAATCGCATTCTTTTGAAAAAAAATTGAAAGAAAGAGGGTTTTCTCCGGCATCAGTAAACCTCTTTCTATGAGGAGAGCTCTTTTGGAAAGAGGCCTTTATGGACAGGGAAAAGGGAGTTCTTTCAGAAGAAGAGGAAAGAGGAAAAAGCACAGGTGCCCTGGAGGCCACTCTGTCCATATTAACAACAACTTAAATGCCAGATAGCGTCCATTCAGTGTGGACTTCTTCCGAAAGAAGCCTGCACTCTAGACATAGCCTATCTGTCTGCCCATCAGTTTAGATGGCTCCCTTCAGCACAATCACTGAGTGCTTCCTCTAGCGCGATCCTCTAGCCTTTCCTCACCAGGGGCAAGCTGGGATTAATGCTCATTTGGTTCTCACTCCCACCACTCGGTGCATTACCACCGTACTTACATGTTGTACCTCTTTCCCATTCACCTGTGCGGTCTCTTCCACTGTGAGCTCATTGGCACAAGGACTGTACCCTGTCTGATGGCGGGTGCTACCAGAACACCATATAGAGAATGGTAGTAACTCCACCTAAGAAAACGAGCATTTTACAGCTCGTTTTACAGAAGGTGAAACTGAGGCACATCAAGGTGATGTGACTCTCGCCTCGGCCACAAAGCGAGTCAGTGGCACATCTTCAAAAAGAACCCAGGCCTCCTGACTCCCATGTGCTCCTTCATCATAACCCTCTTCCTCTTAGATGCCAATTGGATTCAAATTTCCAGGATGATGCACAAACCTTTTCATTGTCCCCTTTTTTCCCCCCGCTAGTTCTTCAGTTTGCCTGTGTCTTGGAATGACATCAGAACTGGTAGGGAACACTCTGCAAGGATGCTTCCCCTTGGCTGTCACCTTATCTGTCCTGTTTGGCTTCATAGTACATGCAGTGATGAATAAAGCTTAAATGCTATTTTTAAAAAGCAGCTCCTGCCATTCAGCTCTGAGCTGGGCTGTACTATAAAACTGGCATTTGTGCCCTCATTCCTTTAAAGGAAACATGTGTTGCTGCAGCTTTTATTTCTGCTAATGCGGCAGCCAGTTTTCTGGAAGGAGATTATACCTACACATAAAGTGTTTGACACAGCAAACCATTGGTGCAACCGCAAGAGCCAGTGTTTCCTCGAGTTTTATAAATACTCTGCTTTTGGAAGCCAATCTTGTTTAGTTTGTTGCAGTGGGATTCACAGAGTGTTTCTCAGGTGGAGGTTTAAATTGGAGACGCCGGCACTGAATATTTAGGGCTAAAGTTGGCTCTCCATTACAATGCTATAACCGTGATTATTTGCACAAATGTAATCCCAATGAGGGCTACACCAATAGTTTATACCAGAGCAAATTTTGGTATCCAAAGATAAGACATACAGGTCACATAAAATGAAACTGGTTCCTCCCAGAGAGCTTCCTCCAAAACTTCAGCCAAACCAATTTGGATATTCGTAAAGGTCCAAACCATCTTTCCCCATTTATTTTCACTTTTTACGCAGCTCTGGCTATCACACCTGGGAGCAGGAGTGGTAAGGCCTTGAGACAGTATCTTCCCATGCAGGGCTGCTGCAGATGGTGGTGGGGAGGGAACAGCTGCCCCAGAGTCCAGGAATTTAAAAGGGCCTGAGGCACCAGGC